TTATATGTTGAATTTGGTAACATATAATATATCAATCCATTCTTATACTATATGCTATAATCATTATGTTGAATGGATACAAAAAAACCATTCAATTGGAGTTGATAAAGTACCTTTATGGAGTCCAATTAGGGGTGAAAGTCGATTCGAGCTACTTGTGAGAAGCTCAAGCTTGGCTTAAAATTTACTCGAAATCAGGTCGACTTGGGACGAGCCGAGTGCGAGCCGAGCCCGCTTGACTATAGTGTTGAGCTGAGTTCAAACACGGTACTACTCGGCTCGTGAAGCTCGCGAGCTTGAGCCAGCTCAAGGGTTTATTTGCGAGGTTTTAAAATAATAGGGGGCCATATGAATTTATGATATGTTTTAGTTTTAAAAAATTGCAAATCCACCCATACTTCAAAATCGATTTGGGAATTGGTAAATCAAATTAGAAACAAGCCCTAACTCTAAAAAGATCTCTCCTTTTGTTCTTCATTGTTTTCCATTTGTCGTCTCTTCATCGCCCTTTTTCCTCTCCTCTAACGAATCGTCCTTCTACTTGTTCTCGTGACTCTCATTCACTCTCAGTCTCAGACTCTCAGCCTCTCAATCTCAAGTAATGTTTATTTTATAGCCTCTCAAAAGTCTCAATCTCAATCTCACTCTCAGTCTATGTCTCAGCCTCTCAATCTTAGTCTCAATCTCAATCTCAATCTCAAGCAAAGTGTAATTGATACAAGTTAAGTGTTTCATTGCATTTTGAGTTAGTATGTAGTGTAAATGTGTAATTGATATGAGTTAATATTTCAATTGTATGTAATTGGTGATGTATTGTATTTTGTATTTTTGTTTGTGCTAATTGAGCTCGAATTCGAGCTACAGCTCAATTTAGCTACAACTCAATTTGCACTCGGTTGAAATCAAACTGGCTCGAGCTCGATTAATTGAGCCAGAGTTCGAATTCGAGTTTCCAATAGTATTACGAGTTTGAGTTCGATTCGGCTTTGCCAAGCTCAATTGGGCTTAAGCTCGAACTCGAGCTTGTTGCTATAGTAACCAAGCCAAACTCAATTAGTCAAAAACTCGGCTCGGCTCGGCTCGACTCGACTAGACCCCTAAGTCCAAGGACCCTTACAAGAAATTGATAAAACAAATTGCTAGGTAAGTATACTTTGTTCTTGATATTCTAATTGCATATTAGTAAATAATAAAAACACATACGCATGCACACACGCGCGCGCGCACGCGCATACACACACCCCCCCCCCCCTGAGATAGACTCTGTTTGATTGACATGTAGAATTTTTTAAGCTTTAGAATTGTTTCATTTTGACATGTTGGATGATTGTTTGACATGTGATTGTATGTGATTGGTGATGATTTGGGATATGTTCATGTAGTTGCATGTGATTGGTGATGATGTGGGATATGTGGATGAGTAGGATTTTTGACTACATGTGGCTTAATGTAATTGGTGTTTGATATTTATTGACATGTAGGATTTTTTAAGCTCTAGAATTACTTCATTTTGATATGTTGGATGATTGTCTAGCATGTGGGATATGTGGATGAGTGAATTTTTGGTTACATGTGGCTTAATGTAATTAGTGTTTGATATTTTTTAGTATTAATGACACATATTACATTGAACAATCAGTAGTAAATTTGTCATAACTTGCTCAATAAAAGTCTAATTAATGAACAAATTGAAGCATTGAAAACTAGACAGACGGAACTTTAATTTGATACATTATAGCTACCTTTGATATGGAATCTTCCTTACTGTCGAACCATCACATTATAGTCGAAAAGATATGATATCAATCTCGGTTTCCATTGACAATTAGTAATAAATTGACCATAACTTGCTCAATAAAAGTCCAATTGATGAACATATTAAAGCATTGAAAACTAAATAGACAGAGATTTAATGTGATATATTATATGCTAAATTTGGATAACTATAGACTCTTTACATTCTGGTAAAAAATATATGATATCAAATTGTGGCATCCCAAATGTCTACTTTATGATCACAAGATGGTGTCCTTCCATTATAAATTGTATTGTTCAGTAACACATATCCATTAATATAAGCCATTGCCGAACCATTGGAATATGCTAAATCATATGAAATATGTTGAACAATGACAAGAAATCCAACAATCACCATTACTATTACATATTCAAAAAACATGTTGAACCATTTTTAATTGTAATAAGTCAAATGCCGAACCACAACTTAAATTAAAAAAAAAAGGGTCTTACTACTCTAATGCATTAAGTACATAATTAATATGATATCAAATACAAATCATGGTTTTAAAAATTGGACCGGGACCCGATCACATGTCCGGTTCAAGTCAATGTAAAACCGATTATTTTTCAATAACCCTCTATGAACTACCAATGAACCGGGAAAAAAGTGTGAACCGTCGGTCCAACCAAACCGCTTGATTAATTGGTCAAATGTTTCAAAAGGGGAAAAAATCCCTAACTCTTTACAGTTTCTCACTTTCTTTAATTTCTCAGTTTCTCTACTTAAAATCCTCTGAAAATCTGAAATCCCACTCAAATCGCCATTCAATCTCAATCAACTCCACTCTCTGAAGTCTAAAATCGCAACTATTGTGTCAATCACAACTCAACTCTCTAAAATCGATGACGACGACGCCTTTCTCCCTCGCCGGAAATCGACAACAACGGCTCTATTCCTTGTTGGAAATCAACAACAACTCTATTCCTTACTAGAAATCGACGACGACGACGACGACAGCTTCATTCCCAGACGACAACGACATCTCCATTCCTCGTTGAAAATCGACGATGACAGCTCCATTCCTGGACGACGATGACAATAGCTCCATTCCTCCCTTGCTGAATAAACAAGTTAAGTTTGTGAAGAGCTTGGCTCCACCTTTAATGGCTGCACTTATAATCTTGTCTCCTCTCGTCAACGATCCAGGTAAAAAACACACCATTCACGAGTTCAATAACGATTTCGTTTTTAATGCTTAAATGTGGTTATCAATTTGCAACTATGTCCAAAAACACATCAAAACTGGATTAGAAATTATAATGAAGACAATTGCATTATTAACCCATCATGTTCACCATTCTCAAATTCACTACATTAGGATATTATTATCCTTTCTTTTTATACTGAAAATCCTTTTAGATTACTCCAACATCTCAACATAGTCTCTAACTATGTTGTAATAAAATGCTAAATAATTTTTTGTATTAATTTGTTGTGTTTCTAGTCTTCACATTAAGAAATTATGACAATGAATCAGAAGATAAACCAATTCTGGATTATGCAATATCATGTTCTTACGTTTGGGTTGTACATTGTTGGCAAATGATGTAGACAACATCAAGGACCAAGCTTGTAGTGTCAAGTGTTGTTCATACTATTATGGCAATTGGTTGAATCCATGACTACCTCTTACTCACTTTGAAGAGTATTGTGAGATTTCTATAAATGCTGCAAATAAAAGAACACATTTATATGCAACAAATCTTACATGTTTTCTTGAGAAATAATAAGAAAATTTTATTAATGGTATCAAATTTAAACGTAGAAACAAGAGATGCATATTTGCATGATATTGTATCTTTTTCCCCCTAAATATTTATATGAGAATTATTTGTTGTTGCTGCTAATAGTAACATTAGTTTCAATGACAAGTTAGTTTGCTGATGGTATAACTTTTTCTTTCTCCTCTACAAGGTGTGTGTTCCAAACTGGTTTGATTGGTAACAATACATTTTATGATGATCATCTTGTTTCCATTATGCTCTTTACCTATTGTTTTTTGTAAAAGAAAGTTTATCTTAATCGTATACCACATGATGAAGCAAAAAGCAGCTACATCTGCTGCTCTACCCTGGAAATTCCTTTTCTAATTGATTCATCTAATTTGTAGATGCCTCTATTGATTAAAACAAAAATGGTTGCTGAAACATTTTTCCATGGAAAGAAAAACTTAATCATGATTTAGATTTTTCTAGAATATCATATTTTATTTGTAAAGTTGGCTGGAATTTGTTTAGAATTTTTTGGTGCACTAAGGGAATAAAATTTCAGCCATGTCATTGTCATCATCCAGCAAATATTCAAGTTCATCACTCACCTACAAGTTACCAAGTGTAATAATATTAGATATATATTAACAGGCTTAAGAAAGGCATACTAAATTGTTGTTATTTCTTGTGTGACGGGTAGATAAAGATTAAAAATAGATAATGTCAACATCTGGCTCTGGGTCTTCTTTACAATCTAGTAAAGGTAGGACTGATATAACATAGGCACATGTTATTGAGGGTGTAGATCCAAATGGAAGGAAGACATTAAAATGTCTTCACTGTGGGAAAGTAACTAGAGGAGGAAGTATTTTTAGAATGAAAGATCATCTAGCTGGAACAAAGGGGGATGTTGGTGCTTTTTTAAAAGTTCCTTTTGATGTTCAATACTTGATGAGAGAATCACTAAAAGACATTGGGATAAAGAATAAAGAGAAGGCTGATTCTAGTAAGTATAATACTCCCTACATGCTCCCGTACATGGATTTGAGGGAGATATGTTAAATGAAGATAGGGAAGAGTTTCGTCCATCAGAAATTCACCTAAATGAAGGTAGGTTTGGTAGTAAAAAACAAAGTACAATGATAGACAAATAAAAAAGAAAAAAACCTATTGGGGTTGGTAACTATTTTGCTCTAAGGACAATTGTTGGATCTCAACCATTAATTAAGAGTTGTTTAGCTGGAAAAGATGTGACGTAGAGAGCAGACATGGCTTTTGCAAGATTCTTTTACGATGCTTGCATCCCAATTAATGCTGTAAATTCAATTTATCTTCAGCCTTTGGTGGATGTTATAGCTGCACTTGGGCCTGGGTATAAACACCCAAATTATCATGGTTTGCATGTCAATTTGTTAAGAGATGCTAAGAAGGAAGTGTAGCTTCTTGTTGATAGTTACAAAAAGATTTGGGAAACTATTGGATGTACCTTAATGGCTGATGGTTGGACTGATAATTCACATAGGTCATTGATCAATTTTATGGTGGATTGTCCTAAGGGAGTTTGTTTTGTGAAATCAAATGATGTTTCAGATGTTGTGAAGGATGTTGGGACATTGTTGAAGATGTTTGAGGAAGTAGCTTTATGGATTGGACCAAATAGTATTGTCCATTTTGTCTCAAACAATGGATCCAATTATAAAGTTGCTGGAAGAATGTTGTCTGAGAAATATCTGAGTATTACTTGGTCACCCTGTGTAGCACATAGCATAAATTTGGTGTTAAAAGACATAGCTGAGATGGATCACATAGTTTATCTTGTGAGACGTGCTTCTGAGGTGACGAAGTTTGTATATAATCATACATTCTTGATAGCTTGGTTGAGGAAAAGACAAGTAATATACCTTTAGCTCATGTTCTTGTCAAGTCATAACATAATATGCATTTTTTATAATTAACTAACATCTATTATTTATCAATTGAACAGGGTTGGAAAGAAATTGTCCGTCCGAGCGTAACCTGTTTTGCTACAACTTTCATTGCAATGAGAAGCCTTCATGAGCACAAACATGACTTGCAAGCCATGGTGACAAATAAGTCATTTGTTGATTCTCGATATGCAAAAAGTAATAAAGGCAAACATGTTATTGAAATAATTCTAGAAAAATGATTTTTGGGATGATATGGGTAAGATATCCAAAGTTGTGAGTCCATTGATGCACTTGTTGCGGATTATTGACTCATATGAGATGCTTGTAATAGGATATGTGTATGATGACATGTATAGAGCGAAAAATGCAATTAAGAAGTTGTTTAAGAATAAAAAGAGATTGTACAAGCTTTATACACAAATCATTAACCTACGTTGGGATAGGATGTTACACCGTGATATCCATGTTGTGGCTTATTATATGAATCATGCCTTTAAATATGACGAAACATCTTTTTGTGTCAAGCCAGAAGTCATGAGTGGTTTCCTTGATACTATTAACAGTAAAGCAAGTGCGTTCAATTTGAACAAGACAAGGTTAATGGAAGAGAGTAGATTATATTCAAATCGGGAGGAAAGCTTTTCTCATGGGCTTGCTCTTGAAACCGCCAAAACCACACGTCCTAGTTTTTAATAGTTATAAAATTTATGAGTTCTTTTGTTTTTTAAGTCTAATTTATTTATTATGTTTAATTTTCAATTAGATGAATGGTGGAGATCATTTGGATATAGTACTCCAAATTTGCAATAAAAATTCCTTAGCCAAACTTCAAGCTCTTCAAGATGTGAACGAAATTAGAGTGTTTTTGAGCACATACATACTAAAAAAAGGAATAGATTGGAGCATCAAAGGTTGAATGATCTTGTTTTTGTTCACTATTACTTGCGTTTGCAAAACATGTATAAAACATTGTCAATTACTCAATTATGCATCACTCTTATTGTTATTATCTAATATTTTCCTTGATATTTTACTTGTTATGCTTTTAATATTTCATTGTGGTATTTTAGGAGGTGTTACAAGAAAATAAGTTTCGATCCTATTGATTATGAAAGTATCGACAAAACTGAAGGTTGGATAGTTGACGATGAAGAGGAGGTCAGTGAACTTAATTATGAGGAGTTGGAACAAATGTTATATAGAGAATGATCTATTCCTGCTGGAGTTGCTGATCACCCTTCTTTTTATGATTCAACCGATGGTTTAGAAGGTTGGCTTCAAATATTTAAGCAACTTAGTATCTATTTTAAATTAAATTACAAGTTTTAACTTATGATTTCTATTTTTTACTGAAATTTATGTAGATGATGGTGATGGTTGTGATGATGATGATGGTGATGATGATGAATTTTGATGTTAGTATGTGAAGCTCAATCAACATGGAGACGGATCAAAGAAAAAACACTTGCACCAAATGGTTTGTTATTAATTATTATGTATTTTGTAATTTAATATGTAATGGATGAACACAACATCATGTTTGGATTTTGACTTTGGATTGTTGTTAAATACTTAAATTATGTTGGGATTGTTATTGAATTTGAACTTTGAATCATGTTAGGCAGTAATTAATTTGTTATTGTCTTATTAAAAGATGGAAATCCTAAAATCTAAAAAAAAAAACAGGTTTTTTTTTTTAGTGTTGACGTCAACATGATGACATCACCGGTCTAACCGACAGTCCAATCGGTTGGATCGGTTGACTCGTGACCCAGGTAGCAGAGCGGGGTTGCCCTCCGGTCTGGGTTTTAAAACAGTGATACAAATGACATTTCACATTGTTAGTATGTCTAAAACAATCAACCATTTATATTACTATTGAATAAAAATGACATTTCATACATTAAGTGTATGAAATTGATAGATAGATATAGATATATAGATATGAAATTAAATAGTGATTATAATTTTTTGGGAATCCTAAAGTTTGTTGGATGTGTTTAATCCCTTAACATACACATAAATACAAACGTTTCATGTTTACATTAAATATCTATATATATTTATAAACACATTGATTCCAATGTGTATTTTTTATGTTTTTCGACTTTATATTTAATAAATAACTATTATCGTTTTCTTGCATGTTATTCGAAGAATTTTACCTTCTTGAATGAGTGTGTTTATTTATTTAGAGTTGGTTGTTGGTTTTTCAATTGTTAATTTTCTATTGTCGTTTAAGTTGTCCTCTAATGTTTATTTCTATATAAGGATAAGGAAGTTTGTATTTGTATTGTATTTATAAAGTTGTAGACTTTTATTGATTCTATTTATTTCCCCTATTGATTTCGCAATGGCTGACAGAACATCACATTTGAAGAACTCAGAAAATGGTAATAAACATTTAACCCATTCTGTTATGTTTATTTCTATACAACTATAAGAAACTCTGTATTTGTAGAGCTTTCATAAATTAATAAGATTTCATTATTTTCTTTCACAGTTGATTCAGCAATAGCTAACAGACAGTTGGAGTTGAAATACATTCTACAAAATATTGGCTCTAACTTAGAAAATCTAAATACTGCAAGACAGAAATTGAAAGATGTCATTGATGGGTTGTTGGATATCATGCATTCTACCATGAGTATTAATTTTGATGTAATTAGATGGGAGTTTTCGGTTGCTGCAAAGGAAGTGGAATTGGGAATTCACCAGGAGAAGAAATAAAGAACCTCCATGTACACATTTCCTTTATGTTTAAAATATATTAAATAAAAATCACAATATATTGCATTCACAAATACAATAGCAACCATTGCCGTCTTTCCATAAGTTTCAGTACACCACTCTTAAGATAAATAAGCCACCACTATTACATATTCCAAAAACATGCTAAACTATTTTTAATTGTAATAAGTCACATGCCAAACCATAACTTAAATTTTAAAAAATGGGCTTTACTAATCTAATATGTTAAGTACATAATTAATATAATATTGAATAAAAATGAAATTTCATGTTGCTAATGTCTAAAAAAATCCACCATTTAAATTACTATTGGCTATTCAATCAACATGTTGAACAATGTTTAATTGAAATGAGCAACCTCTTGAACCAAAACTTAAATGGAAATAAAAATTCTAATAAAATCTATATGGTTAGGTTTCTTGATGTCATAAACATCAAATTGTTTAGCAAACTATAACAGTCGTATCACTGGTGCATGAAATAGGCAGATAAATATAGATATGATATTAAATAGTGATTATAATTGTTTGGGAATCTCAAAGTATGTTGGATGTGTTTTAATCCTTTAATATTCACATAAATACAAAAGCTTTACATTCACATTAAATATCTATATATATTTATAAACACACCATTCCAATGTGTATTTTTTATGTTTTTTGACTTTTTTATTTAATAAATAACTACTACCATTTCCTTCCACGTTATCCAAAGAGTTTTTCTACCTTTTTGAATGAGTTGTTTATTTATTAAGAGTTCTCTCTTGGTTTTTCAATAATTCGTTTTCTATTGTCATTTGAACAGTCCTTTGATGTTTATTTCTATATAAGGATAAAGAAGTTTGTTTTTGTATTACATTATAAAGTCGTAGAGTTTCATTGATTCTATTTGTTTCCTCTGTTGATTTTGCAATGGCTGATAGAACATCACATTTGAACAACTCATAACTAAACAATGCCAGAGTAAACAGTAATAAACATTTAACCCGTTATGTTATGTTTATTTATATACATCTATAAGGAACTCTATATTTGAAGAGTTTTCATAAATTAATAAAATTTCATTGTTTTTTTTTTTCACAGTTGACTTGGCAATAGCTAACAGACAGTTGGAGTTGAAACAGATTCTACAAAATGTTAAAACCAACTTAGACGATCTAAATATTGCAAGACAAAAATTGAAAGATGTAGTTGATGGGTTGTTGGATATCATGAATTATGTGAAGGGCATTATTTCTGATCTAACTAGAAGGGAGTTTTTGGTTGCTGCAAAGGAAGTGGAACTAGAAATTTGTCAAGAGAATAAATAAATAACCTCCATGTAAACATCTCTTTTAAAGATTAAAGAAGAACATATTATTGGCGCTTCCTACAATCATATTAGCAATACATGAAATGACGACGAAAAGTTTACCAATTATCTACTTTGTTTACCATAACAGATAAGATAATATTGCATAAATGTTTAAGGGAAAATGACATTACATAACATTATCCTAATAGGATCAAAATATCTCATTTCTTTGCTTCACAATAACATCTTTAGAGCTACATATGACAAGCAACGCTAAAAAAAAAAAAAGAAGTCAACTACAAAAAGATAAAATTTCAATAATGCTAAAGCTACCGATTGAACAACCGATTTGACATACTGACTTTTGGTGAATTGAGTTAAATTTTGAGATTTGGATAATTGGGCAGTGGGTCGGTATATCAAAATCGGTAGTTTAATCAGTAAGTGTAGCAGGGTCCATAAAATTTATTTATCAAGTTCCTTTTCCTGGGTTGATGAACGTTTGGGTTTGCGACCACGCTTTTTCCCACATCTTGCTTCAAAGGGTATGTTTACTATATTTTCAACAGCTTTTGATAGATTTGAGCACAATAACATATCCTTCCATTTGTGCATCAATTTTTGAATATGACTATGTTTCTCACTCTACAAGCAAATAAAACATTTGTAAGTTATATGTCAAACATCACACATTAGATGAAAATATATGCTTTAAAAACACTTAACCACAAGAAATCATATCACTGTGTCACTTGAAGGAGGAAGCAATCAAAATCCAATCTAGCACAGCTAAACACTGAAACATAATTTGTATCTTATATCCAATATATGTTGTGCAAAAGAACATGTATTGTACATAGTTTGGAAACAACATGGATACAAATACAATTTAAAAAAAAAAAAAAAGAAACAGAGTGATATCTGATTAATAATTTCTAAATAACATACTGCTTCAAGTTTGCCCAACGCGTTTTCCAGCTTCAAAGTTAGCTGAAGATTTTCATTTGTTAAAGTTTCAATCTGTGTTTGAGAAAAAAAAAACACATAAATAGTACTTCAAGCAATATATGACACTTGAGATCATCTGTAAAAACGAAACATATGCTACCACACTACTGATACCATTTTCTGGCAGCCAAAGTACAAGCTTTTGTATTTGCCATGACACATACATGGGTTCTCATGAGGGAAAAAATTGTTTTGTTGACTTTCAATTAGTTGTATTAGGTGGTACAAATGTGCATAGTCAGAATGAGGATATTTAGCGTGTAAGAATAAATTACACAAACAAACAAACAACTGAAACCATTAGAAAAAAATAAACAAAAGATTAAAAACAAAGATGAGTTATACAGAGGCTCCATTGGCAATGGAAAAAGGCTCGAAACAAGCACTGCAACCATCTTCGAAAAAATCAAAAACAGCACCAGAACACAAACCTAACAAGGACATAAATTAGAATAGGAATTAGAAAGAAATGAAATAAGGGAAAAAAAGGGAACCCTAAAGAAGTAATAATCTGAATTTAGCAAAAAACCTGTTGGATCGGTGGTTCAACAATAAAACTTTGTAAAGGAATTAAAGGAAAATGAAATAAACAAAAAAAAAAAAAATGGAACCCTATAAAATTGTTAACCCGATTTTCGCAC